GGTGAGGTTGACCAACCTGTAGTTCCCCGATCCTCCTTCTTGGAAACAGGAGTGACATTTGCTATCTTCCATTCCTCAGGAACCTCTCCCAGTCACCATGATCTTTCAAAGATAATTGAGAGTAGTCTCATAATGACATCAGGCAGCTCCCTCAGCATTTGTGGGTGCAACCCATCAGGCACCACAGACTTGTATGTCCAGTTTGTTTAAGTGGTCCCTAACCTGGTCCTCCTCCACCAAAGGTAAGCCTTCCTTGCTCAACTTTCCCTCTGGTCTCAAGCATGAGACTCCTGAAGGCTGGTCTTACCAGTGAAGACTGAGGCAAAAAAGTTATTGAGTACCTTGGCCTTTTCCATGTGATTTGTTCCCATTCAGCAGCAGTCTTATGTTTTCCTTAGTCATCCTTTTGCTGTTTAGGTACTTGTAGAATCCTTTCTTGTTGCCCTTCAGGTCCCTTGCCAGACTCAACTCCAGGCCAGCCTTGGCTTCCCTAACCCCTATCGTTGCAAGATCAAACAGCAACTCTATACTCTTCTTGTGTTACCAATCCCTGCTTCTACCTCATATATGCTTCCGTTTTATGTCCAAGTTCAATAAGAAGCTCCTTGTTCATCCATGCTGGCCTCCTGCTGTCCTTGCTTGCTTTGCTACTTGGGATGGAACTTTGTTGAGCTTGGACAAGGTGATCCTTGAATACCAATGGGCTCTCCTGGATGCCTCTCTTCTCCAGTGCTATCTCTCATAGGATTCTTCCAAGCAGATATCTGAAGAGGTTGAAGTCTGCTGTCCTGAAGTCCAGGGTTGTAATCCTGCTTTTTGATCCTCCACTTAGGATCCTAAACTCCACCATCTCAGCTAAATAAACCAATAACAATAATTATATTGTAGCTCCCAAGTTGTTCAAGACTGCAATTTTTCTGAGGATTTCCAGATTAACCTCTACTACCATTCAGCCTTTGGTTTCTGCAATTCCTCATGTGAAAAGCAACAGACAACCACAAATTTTGGAAGCGACTTAGCCACTCCAATTCCAATGGAGATAGCTGCAAACAGTTTGGGGTCCAGCAGCATAAACCTAATATCCACTGTCCAAATCAGTCACCGAATTAATCTCTTTCTCTGAATAAAAAAAAAAATTAAATTCAAGCAAAGACAGTTTACTGCTTTCTCCTACCCTCCTTTTATTAATACTTGCAAGGAGACTGTACTTTTCTTACACCGTTAGCAAACCTTATCTATCACAAACAATTGCACTGAAGTTCTTCCACGCTCAGGGACAGGCTAAATATCCAGATATTTTGAAAGTAGCCACTGAAGGGCACTGATTAAGAAAAGACTTACATTTTTCTCTTCTCTGAATTAGTTTTTCCCAAAATCCACAATTAGAATTTTATAGTCTCTTCACTGTGGAAAGCAAAATACTTGAAAGTAACCAGCATAATCCTCTCACAGGAAGTAAAGCCTTTCGGACAAGAAATCTCAGATAAAGCTGTATTACCCTGGTGCTTTTTTGATAAAAAAATACAAAATTCCATTACCATTAGCTGTTTGCAGCCTTTTAAAGGTATACCCATTGATCTTAACAGGTGATGGCCAAGATACTTCACAGGAAAAAATAACCCTAACAAATAATACCCCTCTGGTCTGTTTCTTCTGTCTCCACCTGTCATTCTAAGAAAGTTACTTAGATAAGGTAACAAGCGAGAAGCAAAACACAAAGGCAGCAGAATTGAATAAAAGTCTTCCTTTCCCCCCAAAAGTACTTAAGTTACCTTTTCAGCATAATGAAGAAAAACTTTTCCAAAAACATGCATCAGATTATTTATAAATCCAGTTTATTATCCTTGTCTATCTCCATACTTGATTACGTTCAACTCTTCAGTTTCCTTCTTCCAAATCCAAGGATACAGGAAAGTTCTGTATCAAGAAATTGATACAGAAACTCCTGCATCAAGAAATTTATATCCTTGCCCTAATACACAGTAGCATAATCACACGCTCTTCTGTTGCGCAGGCTTCCAACGTTATCTTTAAATTACCCTGCAATGAATATGCGCCGATGTCTCACCTCTGAATAGAAAGGAACAGTTTTCTTAAGGCCTTAATGTCTAAGAAAGTATTTTATTTCTCTTCCATCTTCTACAATGCAAACTAAATTAACAAATTCCAAGAGCCATTTTGTCTATAAATAGCTCTAAGAATTCAGGAATATTTTTTTTGCCCACATTACAAAAACAATTAGAAATCCCACCCTGACGTTCAAGCAATAATGAAAACATTTCATCCATCACTGGTTCAAAAATAAGCTAATACAAGTCTTGAGCTGTCACATTCGTTAACTAAATAATCATGTAAAAATGAGAACTCTATTTCATTCCTCTCATTCATATTTTCCAGCTCTACTCTTCAAAAATGCTGTTGCTTAAGCCCAGCAATAATCTGCCTCCTAACAAGAACACAGAAATAGCTGGCATTTCAGTTATCTTCAGAACAGACTCAAGTTAGAGGGCAGAAATTAGCTTTTTTCTTCCCCCCCCCAATTCTTTAACATATAAGAATCCCCTCTAGTATTTTCTTATTCAACAGAATTGGCTAAAATACTGATTCCTTCAGCAGGTATCACCCTACAGTTGAAAGAAAGTAATCATCACTTGCCCCAGGAACCACTGCCTGTATGATGTTTTCACTGACATAAGCCTTCTTCCATGAAAAGCTCGTATTAATAGGGGTAAAAGAGGTTTTATGTTTTTCAAAGCCCTAAGCAAAGACAGACCAACTTGATCTGTAACATCAGAAGAGAGGAGTAGTCCACCTTTTCTCTTAGGAAAAGTTAGCCAGATCTTATTCTGAGTGTCTAGGCAATACTACACACAAAATGGTCTTGAACTGCAAAACTGAATGCCTTTTAGTTCAGCAATATATTTCTTGAGCACATTCTTGAGTGTCTTCAGGTTACAGAGTTATTAAAATATTCTGAACACACAGAGAACCAAGTACACTGGTGCTTCTTCCGTGTTCTCAGCTTCCACAGAATATGGGTGGGGTTTGGGATTTTGGGGTTGGGGGAGGGGGACATTGGTTGCTTTTTGGTTTGTCTGGGGTTTTTTTTAAGACGTCAAAAAGAACTACCCGTGATATTTTAACGTGGCCTCTTTCCAGGTTGATAATCTTTATTTAATCAGTGAACATTACCTTCTTTGTTACCTATCTAAGACTTTAAATACAAGAATAAATATGAATGCATTAATTGTAAGTCTGATTCTCTCTGCGGAAAATGCACTTCATTCTGCTTGTTTCTGTATGACAAAAAGTCCGTATTTCTTTTTCAACTATTTCACTTTTACCTTTTCCACATTTCTAATATTTGACTAACCTGAAATTTCACTGAGGCAAACAGTGATTTGCTACATTATCTCAGGGTATAGAGTTTTACAATAAAGTCTAGAGAAGAGTAAAATATAATTCAAGGAAGAATTACAGGAAGAACCATTGAGAGGATTTAAGCAACTTTACACAGTAGCTGTGAAATTTCCCAAGTTGTACTGAGCTTTGCACAAAGCTTCATCAATTAAAAAAAAAAAAAAAATCAAGACTGAAATGGTGATGTGTCATCAGTGGAAAAAAAAAAATTTTACACTCTCTACTTCCTTATGATGTTGTGCCCAGGTAGGACAGAATCAGCTCCATACCACAGTGCTATCACGACAACAGGAAAGCCTCCTTTGGACTATTCCACACATCTCCACAGTAGTACAATTTAAAACAAACAAGAATAAAACAAACAAATTCACTGCTGTCAAAACAGACTTTATAGTAACAAGAATATAATCTAGTACTGACATTAAAAGAGGACTTCTTATTTCCTCCAAAGGCAGAAATATGAGCAAAAAGGTCACAGGGTAGATTCTGTGTAAAGTGACCGACAGCAATGCAGCCACCTCTCAAATCCACGAGCGACCTTGACCTTATAGTGACAAGCACTTTAAAAGGATAGTAGTTTTATCTGCTAAGTCTCTTCACGCAGAATTACCGTGGGCACTACACTAAACACAATACAGTGGTTTGTTCAGTTCATAAACGTCATGAGTTTCTAATGCTTCGCATTGCATTGCACACTTGATTGCTATATTTCAATGCAACACTACTAAATTATACAGAGTTTTAGGCACAAACCCTATCACACATTTCAACAGCCCACAGCATAGTGACAGCATTCAAACAAGGTAAATATTTAATCAAGCAAGTGCACTACTTCTGCAATGCAAGAAATTCTTGCATTACAGAGTTTTACTCACTATCCAGCACTTTGACAGTAACGCACATTTTCAGTCATAAAACAAACATTTAAAGATTAAAATCTATCTTCACATACAAACACCTAATTATTACCAACTTTGAAAGAATGATATATACACACATATGTATGGGCACTACTGTGCTCAAAAGTGTGCAGTTTCTGAATCCATTTTTTCCTAAGATACGAGTAATAAAAATACAATTAAAGCTGCTTATTTTGCTATGAAATTTCTCTGTACTTAGCAAAGCAAATAAAGAACAAGGAGAACAAATTGTTCTCAGGTGCTAAAGAAGAGTAAGCTACCATTTGTCTGAAACAAAATACATTATTAGCAAGTGGACTTACAATGACAGTTGTAATCTTTCAGAACCTTTATCCTCCAAGTCATTTTAAAAACATCCAGTTTTAAAATAAATCTTCATTAAAAGATTCATGTATATTTCCCTCTCAACACTTAAAAGCAGATAAAACAAAACTGTACTAGAAAGAGGCATTACCATTACCTAGCAAGAACATCTCTTTCCACTCAAAAAAAAGTATTATTTAGAGAGCATTTTAAGAAAATCTTATGTTTTAATAACTTTCATGCTTGCATACTTTAAGGAAAACATTTAGATAAACTTTGTGTTACTTAATTCAGAGAAAATAAAATATCTGTTGAATAATAGTGTCAGTAAAAATACTTTCATTTATGTACACTTACTGCAATCTCTCTACAGGCCGACATGGATATCCCTGTACCTTCAATCTGCTTCAGTGCATACTCCTTTTCATCTTTTCTGTACACAAAAAAAGAGAGGAATATTTTTAGCTCTGACTTATATTACACCAATCAATACAAGTATAATGGTTTATTTTAATTTAGTACGGATTACAAAGCCAAAAAGCCAATCTGTTTTTATGCATAAATTACACTTAGATATTAAAAGTAGGTTTCCTTCTCACACAGACTTAAATTCCAAACCCCTGCATAAAGAAACTTTGTTAACCTATATCCATTTCTCTCTGAAACCATATAGATAACTGCAAATACATCTACAGAGAATTTTGGAGGACACTTTTCCTGAAATTCCAGGATACTGTCTACTACCATGAAAAAGCAGTAGAGTTGTATCGTACCCCATGCCTGGAAAACTCTCCTGGATATACCTAGGAACCGCAAGGATCTCACTTGATTTTACAAGCTGCTATCAATTCACTTTTACTTCTGAAATACTATTATGTTTTAAACTAATTATTCTTATTGAAAGAACACGAATTTCACCAGGCAAGTTTGTGTTTGCCGGAGCACGAGCACAGAACTCTCTTTGAATGCTGGCTACTGGCAGAACCCTACATGGTATGTGAAACTCTGTGCTCTGAAGTACAAAGCCGAAACACAGATTATCCTTTTAAATAATCACAGTTTAAAGTGATTTAGAGGGAAAACCAACAGAACAAGAAAATGAAGTAGCATCTCAAAGCCCTTGCAATACAACACAACCAGCTTACTGCCTATGGTAAGGTTTTACAGGATTCGGCTGTCATCAATAGATGTTGATAAGCACCGATACCCACAGTGCTGATGTACTTCTGCAGACTCACCAGTTACAATTCAACAACCCACTAACCCCATCTAAATTCCCTATGGCATTTCTAGTAGACTTCAGTTTCCCCTTTGTCCAGTTCCAAACCGTTTCGTTTTGCTATGCTGAAAAATCAACTTGAATTAGCTTCAGCCTCTCTTACTGTTAACTAGAAGTCTGTGTCCTGCCCAGCTCCAGCCTCTTTGCCATCCCCATCGCTGAAATTCAGGGGATGAGAAGCGGCTGAGTGGAGGAATGTGGGGAGGGGATGAGACTGACCAGAAATTATAACTGCCTACACGTATTAGTAACTGCAGGTGATCATTTTTCTCAGTAATTTTCAGTAGCAGTTAAACCCACAATGCATATCTATAGTTAACATTGTGCTTGGCTTCCATTTCACACTAGGTTTTTTGAAGCAAAAATATGACAAGAAAAATTCCAGATGTATTCTGACTACACATGAAAATTCAGTACACTGCAAGTTTTGCAAAAAGTAAATCCACCTTTGAAGTAGGAGTCACTCAGCAGCTGCTCCAGCTAGGAAACCTGAGTTCTGGTGCTGCACCTTAGCTCAGAAATGTTTGAGAGAGGAATAACAACTAAGCACTTACATGAAGTCTTTGGAAATATTTGAAAAGATATTCCCTTCAAATTAAAAAACAGATAAATTCAGTTGTAATGGAATTACAGTCTGCTTTATTTCAAGCAGGGTGTTTCCGTGTGTTTGGGATTTGGTGCAACACTGATCTCTAAGGAAGCAAGACCAAGCATGTTAGGCTACAGGCTTGAAGGGCCTCTTTCTCCAGATAGATTTGGAGTAACGGAAGATCCTTCTGCAGCTGAAACTAAAGAAATGGGTTACTTTGAGGTGACCTAAATGATTTTGGAACTGCCAAAGAGAGAAATACATTCTCGTTCTGCACAGATTTTCCATAGAGAAGTGGGAAGGACAGCGACTTACAACATGCCTTGCAACCACCCCCAAAATATTCACCCATTCAGATACTTAGATGCAAATCTTAACAACCAACACACATGACAAACGAGCGTAAGATTGGACCCTCCTCTTCTAAAACAAACTTTCATTCCTCTGTGCTAATTAAAATGAAATAGCCTCATTTCACAGTATTTTAAACATGTAACTAAACATGTAACTTCTGACTCTGTTTTGTTTTTTGTGTGGGGTTTTTTTTTGGGGGGGGGGGAACACCTGAAACTTTTCAAGGGCAAAAGAAAGCCTAAGAAGTTACCATTACTAAAATTAGGCCAAAAACTGCATTAACAGCTTGTAAGAGCTGTTCACCAAGCACGCTTTCACAAGTAACTTCAGAAGTGGACATGTCTGCTTCCTAAGCAAAAGGATTCACCAGGATCTACTGACATGATAATTCAGATTCCTTCTTTGCTCCCCACTGAGCAGCCCTTTATTTTCCCAAATTAGTCATTTATAAGAACTTGGCTCAAGACACAGATGCAGAACCAAGAAATGTGTAACTTTACAGGTAAATAAGCTTATATCTTACCTCACAAAAATTGCTTTTGATTTCATAGAATCATAGATTTCTATGATTTCATTACTTAGTCCAAAATTTAAGGAGTAAATAAACGCCCATCCCCTCTCATACACGGTTCTGCTATCTATACAGAAGATTTAGGTAAACTGCAAAGTACTAACTCCATAACTCAGATCACTTACTGAGACTGTGAAGGCAAAATTATACTGTTCACAGAACCAAAACCAACTCCGGACATTTAAAATTGGTCATAGCTTTTAAACTATGCTTGCGTTTAAACTACACAGTACAGAATAATCCCGTGCAGACCTATCAGCTTGAATCCAAAACAACGTAGTCACTACAGCACTCTTTTGGCACGTCTCCTTAACCGGGCATAACACTTCACGGATACAGCTACCCTTGAACTAGTTCTACAGATGCAAGCATTCCATTCAGTTACTCAGACCTTCACAGACTCAAGGTCACTGCAGAGACCGGGCATGCCGTTTGGCACACACCGCCTTCAACAGCATTGCTTAACACCACTGCCACTGTGAGTCTGTCACCACTTAACAGCCAGCCACTCTACGCAGGATTTTCAGATACAAATGAGAAATGATGAAAGGTGTCTAAAAAAACCAACAACTTAAGATATTATATAGCATGTGGGAAAAGAAGGCAATCTTACTGAGCTGCAAACAACGTAACTTCTAGGACACTGGGTTCTGTGAACATTGAGTAAAAATGGGGATAATGAAATACTTACCTATAATAAATGGGTATCAAGAACTCCAAAGATTCCGTATTCTAGATCTCACAAAATGTTTTTTTTACCAACAGCTTCAGTATCATCAACATAGCCTCCTTTAAATTAATAAATATCATTTACTTGCTCTGGCAGAAATGCAAGTCTATATGAATACTTTTCCAAAGTTAACTGTTCTTATTATGCAAACATAACAGCTGTTTAAAGCACTTTCCACAAGGTCTCCACCAACTGGTATTTTAACTAGTAATATTTCCCATTTAATAGTAATCTCAAGATAATTTGAGAAATAAAGAAATGTATTTAAAACTTCAATACCAAGTCAGCCAATGCAATCTGATGAAATACACAATTCCGGTTACTCAATAAAATGGTATTAAATGGCCAAAGGGAAAAAAAAAAAAGGTACTTTATTAGCTATTTCCCCCACTTGTAAGAATTCAATAAATAATGTCAAATGTTGTGTGTGATAGGTAAGAATACTGTTCAACTCCCTAAAGACCTATGCTCTTACAAAACACTTGAGGCAGGGGGAGGTATTGCTACTTCATGTTGAATATACAGAAAAACTCTAGTGAACTTTGAACACATTTCAAGAACTTGTACAGAATTATACAACAGGAAGGTTTTCATAAATCCTTTCCTGACAAATCCTGTATCAGTACATTTTCACTAGAGAGCGGAGCAAGTGTGATTAAGTTTAAAAACCCAACTCGAACAACAACAAACTACACAGCTCTGGTATGAGGCAAAAGGCACTCATGCTAGGGCGGGCCAAGCAGAAGCAAGGTCTTTGCCCATAATCATTTCCATCTGGTCCACAGAAATACTGGCTTGGGAGCAGGCCAACTAAGTTGAAGGTCCTGCTGTGCAGGGGTTTGTCTGACAGCAGGGAGCAAGCGGCATAGAACCTGCTTGATTAAACCTTGGTCTATTAAACAACCAGCCCAGGCTAACGGTGGCAATGTGCTCACTGAATCCGAGCAAAAAACGTAGCAAAACATAACTGAAAAGGAACTCTATTCTTTAAGAGGCTGTGACTCAACAATTCTTATTAAAGCTTTTCAAAACTGATGCAGAAGAATTTGCCTGATAAAACAGGTACGAGGTCACACCTCCACGAGGTTTCTCCACCCTCCAAGTTCCCTTACCCAAAACTCAGGGCAAAGATTAAAACAAACGTTGTTTCCACTTCCAGAAGCTTTACAATTCATGCTATTTTTGACGGGTATTAACTTTTTACAAAAATGGAACTGATGAGATACCCCTCAAAACTTCCTGATTTGGTATTTTAGATATCCGTAGGCAGCATCCAAACACAAGGCTCCTCACGCCTACCAGCAATAATTCAGAACATCTCTCAAAAATCCATACCAGTGTAAGGCCATAACCTGGTCTTTGAGCTTAAGCTTTTCTCTCGCACCAATAAATATCCCATTCTGCAAGTCCTTAAGATTAATGTTAACATTTTAATTTGTACAGTGCAAAGGAAAATTCTGTCTTCTTTCCCCATAAAACTGTACTCAGCTGGCTTATGTCCAATTACAGTATTCAATGCAGGAAATATATGATTACTACTTCTTCTGGGTAACACTTTCAGTTTCCACTTTCCAAATGCTTTGGAAAGAACAACAAGTACCAAATTCACTTTAGAAGGGTGCAGTTCAGAAGACTTAGAATAATTAAAACATTTCAAAGGAGTTAAACTGTCTTAATTATTGCAATTGTACTTCAGAGTGCTCCCATCATGTGAAAAGCTACTTTACAAACAAGCCAATGGAAAACTAGAAACAACTTGCTCAAGATGATAAGAAAAAAAATAGGAGGATTTGAAAACAGCGCATGGTTCAAACTATTGTTTTATCCCTATTAGTCAATTTTTTTTACTTTTAATGGTGGTCCCTCTTGAATTCACATAATTTAACATACGTCCCAACTTCAGAATTAATTATCCACATCAAGGCACTGGCTTGAAAGACTTCAATCACACTGAAGCTACAGCTGTGGCTACCACCTCAATTAATACAGATATTAACATTACAGTGTATACTAATAACAACTTTCTTAAATTAAGTGCACAATATAATAAATTGTATATTATAATAAATAATAAAATAAATTGTATATTATAATAAATATAATAAACAACAACAAGTCACCCTTGTAAGCAACACTAATAGAATGTAAACATTTGTGACTTTGTAGGACAAAGCCTGGGAACACTATGGAGGTCAGTGTCCTTCAAACACAGTACTGCCCAGAACGCAACATTCATACAGATATCTTGCTACGCT